TGATCAAAACTCTTTAGAGTATAGGGATATCATAAAAGCCATCTATGAAAAACCCACAGCAAATATCATTCTCAATGGAGAAAAACTGAGAGCTTTCCCGCTACGGTCAGGAACATGGCGGGGATGTCCACTATCACCACTGCTATTCAACATAGTACTAGAAGTCCTAGCCACAGCAATCAGACAACAAAAAGAAATAAAAGGCATCTGAATCAGCAAAGAAGAAGTCAAACTCTCACTCTTTGCAGATGATATGATACTTTATGTGGAAAACCCAAAAGACTCCACCCCAAAACTCCTAGAACTCATACAGGAATTCAGTAAAGTGGCAGGATATAAAATCAGTGTACAGATATCAGGGGCATTCCTATATACCAATACCAAGACAGAAGAAAGAGAAAGTAAGGAGTCTATCCCATTTACAACTGCACCCAAAACCATAAAATACCTAGAAATAAACCTAACCAAAGAGGCAAAGAATCTGTACTCAGAAAACTATAAAATACTCATGAAAGAAATTGAGGAAGACACAAAGAAATGGAAAAACGTTCCATGCTCATAGATTAGAAGAACAAATATTGTGAAGATGTGAATGCCACCTAGAACAATCTACACATTCAATGCAATCCCCGTCAAAATACCATCCACCTTTTTCAAAGAAATGGAACAAATAATCCTAAAATTTGTATGAAACCAGAAAAGACACCGAATAGCCAGCGAATGTTGAAAAAGAAAAGGAAAGTTGGCGGCATTACAATTCCAGACTTCAAGCTCTATTACAAAGCTGTCATCATCAAGACAGTATGGTACTGGCACAAAAACAGACACATAGATCAATGGAACAGAATAGAGAGCCCAGAAATGGACCCTCAACTCTATGGTCAACTCATCTTCGACAAAGCAGGAAAGAATGTCCAATGGCAAAAAGACAGTCTCTTCAACAAATGGTGTTGGGAAAATTGGACAGCCGCATGCAGAACAATGAAACTGGACCATTTCCTTACACCACACACAAAAATAGACTCCAAATGGTTGAAAGACCTCAATGTGAGACAGGAGTCCATCAACATCCTAAAGGAGAACACAGGCAGCCACCTCTTTGACCTCAGCCACAGCAACTTCTTCCTAGAAACATCGCCAAAGGCAAGGGAAGCAAGGGCAAAAATGAACTATTGGGATTTCCTCAAGATCAAAAGCTTTTGCACAGCAAAAGAAACAGTCCACAAAACCCAAAGACAACTGACAGAATGGGAGAAGATATTTGCAAGTGACATATCAGATAAAGGGCTGGTATCCAAAATCTATAAAGAACTTATTAAACTCAACACCCAAAGAACAAATGATCCAATCAAGAAATGGACAGAAGATATGAGCAAACATTTTTCCAAAGAAGACATCCAAATGGCCAACAGGCACATGAAAAAGTGCTCAACATCGCTCGGCATCAGGGAAATCCAAATCAAAACCTCAGTGAGATACCACCTCACACCTGTCAGAATGGCTAAAATTAACAAGTCAGGAAACGACAGATGTTGGCGGGGATGCAGAGAAAGGGGAACCCTCCTATACTGTTGGTGGGAATGAAAGCTGGTGCAACCACTCTGGAAAACAGTATGGAGGTTCCTCAAACAGTTGAAAATAGAGCTACCATATGATCCAGCAATTGCACTACTGGGTATTTACCACAAAGATACAAATGTAGGGATCTGAAGGGGTACATGCACCCCAATGTTTAGAACAGCAATATCCACAGTAGCCAAACTGTGGAAAGAGCCAAGATGTCCATCGACAGATGAATGGATAAAGAAGAGGTGGTATATATACACAATGGAATATTATGCAGCCATCAAAAGGAATGAGATCTTGCCATTTGCAACGACGTGGATGGAACTGGAGGGTGTTATGCCAAGTGAAATAAGTCAATCAGAGAAAGACATGTATCATATGACCTCACTGATATGAGGAATTCTTAATCTCAGGAAACAAACTGAAGGTTGCTGGAGAGGTGGGGGTGGAAAGGATGGGGTGGCTGGGTGATAGACATTGGGGAGGGTATGTGCTATGGTGAGCGCTGTGAATTGTGCAAGACTGTTGAATCACAGATCTGTACCTCTGAAAAAAATAATGCAATATATGTTAAGGAAAAAAAAAGAAGTAGATAGCAGGAGGGAAAGAATGAAGGGGAGTAAATCGGAGGGGGAGAGGAACCATGAGAGACGATGGACTCTGAAAAACAAACTGAGGGTTCTAGAGGGGAGAGGGGTCGGGGGATGGGTTAGCCTGGTGATGGGTATTAAAGAGGGCACGTTCTGCGTGGAGCACTGGGTGTTATGCACAAACAATGAATCATGGAACGCTACATCAAAAACTAATGATGTAATGTATGCTGAGTAACATAACAATAAAAAATTTAAAGAAAAAAATTTTTAAATGAAATTAAAGCCACATTAAGGAGGGGCTATGAAGGGTTACCCTAAATTCAAAGGGCCAATATAGGTATAAACCTTCTCATCAGTCTTTAATAGGTTGTTCGTTTCAGAAGACAATCAAGTCATACTAGAAATCCATAGCAGTGTTTTCCACCATTTCATTCTGGTAAAGAAATCTTCTCTAAGTTGCCAAAATTCAAAGGATATAAGCATACTAATTCTACTGAAGACTAGTCCAGTTTCTGGGAGAAAAATGTGAATTCCTTGTACAATCATGGAAGAGTGAAATTCTAAATCATGCTTTCACACACCCAGAATCACGTTGTTGTATATTTGCCTACTTACCTCAATCATTTTGCTTTTTATAATTTTTAATCAATATTTATTGAAATGATTCACCTGTATCTTTAATGATTCTTCTCCTTGGCACCCTATTTACTTAATGAGTTCCCCTGGGCCAACAAAAAGACACAGGTAAAATAAGTCCAGTTCCATTTCTATGCATATATAGAGAAGAACATCCCGTATTTTCTATTTTTCAAAACAGTGTTTGCAGGAAAATATAGCAGTCCCTGAACCTAAGGGAAATACTACTTACATTTTATAGATGTATAGTCATAGAATTACAAAATACTGATTTTCACAATAGCGTTTGCAGGAAAATATAGCAGTCCCTGAACCTAAGGAAAATAATACTTACATTTTATAGATCTATAATCATAGAATTACAAAATACTGATTTTAAATGATTGCATGAATAGAAAGAAAAATGATTTAATCAATAACTGTTTTGTATTATATGAAAAGAGGCAAATGGAAGAGTACCAGTCAACCCAGGTGTAAATGAATTTGTACATGGAGTTTGAGTGAGAGATGAAAAGCAAGAAAGAGTTGTATTTTAATAAAATGCTGTCAGCATTTTATAGTATCAGGAATGAAGGGCATTGAGAGTCAAAGAGAATTATACTTCTTAAGAACCATGAAAAAGTTAAATTAACACACTTGTTTTGAAAGCACAATAGAAACCAAATATTTTGCTAACTTGATTTACCAGCTCTGAAATTGTGTAAATGTTTAAGCAAATCAGATGATAAAATTTGAGACTAAATCATCAAGAAGAATCAGGAAGTAAGTAAATTTTTTCTTCAATATATATATTCCTCATTTTACTTAAATGTTTTTTAAAAAGTGTTTGTACATATGTTTATGGAATTACAACCCTTTCAATACTAAAAATTAAATAATTGCTTACTACCAAGAAACTATTAATGAAATCACAGAAATAAATCTTGGATTGTTGACTTTTTTCTAATTTGAAATTGTATTCTGTTACAGAAACAGGATTATTTTGAAAATTCCCTACTGGAAAGAATATCTGCTTCCCAGTTAATATTATTTGGACCATCTACTTTTTCCTTTTCCATAGCTGTATTGTAAAAAAAAAAAAAAAAAGGAAAGAAAAGGATTATGCATTGTATGAATTAAACTATTTCTAGACAATTATTTAATTTAGTAATAGAAGGTTACCTTCTTGTCCCTCTGCCTTTTCATCAGAAAAGGAAAAAAAATAAGAGGGTGATAGCATCAACCAAACCTTGAGAAAGTAATTTATGAGAGAATGCCAACAAAACATTCCCATGGATAAACATGCACGTTCTACACCGAGATGATTACTGTGTTGACTAAATGTTTAATCTTGTGAAAGTTTTCTTAACTAACTCAAAATATAAAATGTGGAGGTAAAAGTAAATGCCCCCATGAGATTTCAAATGCTATATTTAGATTATCCAAAATCCAGACCAGTTTTTATAATATTGAGGAAAAGAAAAATACAATTAGAATATTTTCATGTTTTTATAAACTGAGCTAAATATTTTAAAGAATAATTAGAATATTAATTTCTTAAAAAATTAGAATAAAAGGCTTCAGCTTAAATGTTAGCACAAGATATTATTTTTTATCCACGGCCAATGATAGTGTATTTTCAACAAAAAGAAATAAATTATCATATAGTTTCACTCATATACGGAACATAAGAATAGAGCAGAGGACCACAGGGGAAGAGAGGGAAAACTGAATGGGAAAAAAATCAGAGAGGGAGACAAACCATGAGAGGCCCTGGACTCCAGGAAACAAACTGAGGGTTACAGAAGGGATGGGGGTGGGGGAATGGGGTGACCAGGTGATGCGTATTAAGGAAGGCACATGTTGGGATGAGCACTGGGTATTATATACAACTAATGAATCGTTGAACACTACACAAAAACTTATGATGTAGTATATGCTGGCTAACTGAACATAATACAAAAATTAAAATAAAAAATAAAATATTTAATTAAAAAAAGAAATCAGTATTTAACTTCAAATAATATTTATTACTTGAATGTGAGGTCCAGTAGAAATTGGACAGAGTTGCTGAAGGAAAACATTTGTTTTTGGATTTCATAGATTATTCATCATCATGGATATTCTTAAGATTCTATACTCTAACCTCAATCCTGTTTTAACTTTTTTATGTCCTATAGGGGAAGATACATTTTCCATTCTAAAGGGGGGAAGAAAGGATCAGCAATGAAAAACCACACAGTACCCACAGAATTCATTCTTCTGGGGCTATCAGATGACCCAGAGCTTCAGATTCTGATTTTTCTCTTTTTAATTATCACATATATATTAAGTGTCACTGGTAATTTGACCATCATCACTCTCACCTTGGTTGACTCCCATCTACAGACCCCTATGTATTTCTTCCTCAGGAACTTCTCTGTATTAGAAATATCCTTTACAACTGTCTGTATTCCTAGATTTCTGGTCACAATTATCACCAGAGACAAAACGATTTCATACAATAATTGTACAGCTCAGTTGTTTTTCTTCATCTTCATGGGAATAACTGAGTTTTATCTTCTAACCGCCATGTCCTATGACCGCTACGTGGCCATCTGTAAACCCTTGCATTATACAACCATCATGAACAAAAGAGTCTGCATTTTACTTGTCTTTTGTGCTTGGCTGGCAGGATTCTTAAATATCTTCCCACCAGTTATTCTTTTTCTCCAGTTAGATTACTGTGGCTCCAATGTCATTGATCATTTTACTTGTGACTATTTTCCCCTCTTGCAATTATCGTGCTCAGACACGTGGCTCCTGGAAGTGATTGGTTTTTACTCTGCAATAGTGATTCTGCTTTTCACTTTGGCATTAATAATTCTGTCCTACATGTTCATCATTAGAACAATTCTGAAACTGCCCTCTGCCAGTCAGAGAAAAAAGGCATTTTCTACATGTTCCTCACACATGATTGTCATTTCCATCTCTTATGGAAGCTGCATATTCATGTATGTCAACCCTTCTGCAAAAGAAAAGGCATCACTGACCAAAGGAGTGGCTATTTTAAATACTTCTGTTGCTCCTATGATGAATCCATTTATATATACCCTGAGGAACCAGCAGGTAAAGAAAGCCTTTAAGGATACTATCCAAAAGGTTATATTTTTCTCCAGTAAATGAAAATATGAGTAGCATTCAAAGAATGAAGTTCTTGTAAATACTATTATTCACACTTCCTTAAACCTCCCTTTCTTTTACTGGAGTTATGTATTTTCTCCTTTTTTTCCATTCCCATATTAAAGTTTCCCAATCATTGAACTCAATAAATTTGATCAACTGAATATTGTTTCAGAATTTTCTGTAAATTCAAGTGTTTTATTCAAATGTATGTGGATGAAGTAATACAATTGGGTCAATGATTATGATTTTGAATGGTAGTGGTTTTCCTTTGAAGAGACACTGGGCATTTAGTTTGATGGAAAGAGCGTCAGGATAGGTGCGGATTTCTAAACTTTTCATTCTTACCCAGTAATAGAAATGAATGTTATTAGAAAATTTTGATTCTATTTGTCATTTCCATGAAATTAAATAATCACAATCACCAGAGGACTGGGAATAAAATATAAATATCTACTTAATATATTAAAAGATTAGAAACTCAGACATTTTAAAAATATTTATACTATTCATAATAATTATGATGCTAATGAGGAGGAAGAAAAGGAAGGTAGAAGGGGGTCAAGATAACATAAAATTTTTCAGCAATTCCTACATTCTAGATCTACTGTTTTCTTTGTATTGACTCACCTAATCCTACCAACAAACTTATGGGGTGCTATTAATTATTAATCTCTCTTAGTCAGAGGTATTTTTCTTTAGGTAGATAAAATACCTCCAAAAATTAAAAAATAGGGAACAGACAATGTAAAATATATCAAATGTACAAAATGGATAAAACTATGATAAACCAGTGGAAGTTCACCTTTCTGGAGAACCGAGCTTTAAATTTGTGGCATCTGGAACTCACTTTAGGTTTTTAGGAAATAAGGAAGAGAAATAACGTCTATTGATAATATTCCATACACTCTACTTTATATTAAGCAAATCACATGCAGTATTTATTTTACAAAACCCCTTAGAAGGTGAACATTATTACTTCTAATTTATAGGTGAATGAACACAATGAAACTGAGGTTGAAAGTTCAATGTACAGAGATTGCAGCCTTCAGAACTGGGATTTTAATCACTTCCCTTTAATCTCAAAACCCAGACTAGTTCGGTTACTTTCATCTTCACACTGACTTTCATTTGTAATAATTTATGAATAAAAGCTCATGTTCAATATTAGAACTGTTACATTAAAGGACTTTCTAATGTGTAATGAACTCATTTAGGCTTTTCTTACTTGTGGCAGGCTTTGGGGTTATACTGATGAAAAAGGAGGATCCTTGCTCTAAATAATCTCAGATTCTAGTGGGAAGAAAAAAATGTAATTAAAATTTAATTTGATAAATGCAGTGACTTAAGCATGAGTAGTCTATAGGCCAGGTATAATGTTATCATTGTCAAAGAAAATGTCAGTTTTCCTGCCTTTTCTCTTAGCACAATTATGGTCAGTTTCACAATAATTGCTGAAATTGGTTCTTTTAAACCCTAAAGTCACATGCATAAGACAAACCTTGACTGCTTTGGCTGTCATCTTAGTTTTCACTTTTATTTTATTTCTTGGTCATTATCATATATGTTTTAAAAAAGTTACATTATTTCCTCAGTAAAAAGGGTTTTGGGGAATAGGATTATGATATTCTCCAAGACTCTCCAGCAAGATTCCCTTTACCCTCAAACTGCATTGTGAATCATGCATTCATCTTACGCTCAGTTTAACCTGTTCCCACTCCATATCTATAACTCTCTCAGATCTATTTGAAAGAATTTATATCAGTGACCACAGTCTAGATTTCTAAGGCATTTATCACTTTACATTAGGAAACACTGAGATATATTGTCAAATTAAATCCACGCACTAACAAGGCAAACTAAAAGAAAAGCCAATAACAATACTTAATACCTATATGTGGATAACTAGAAGCAGATAGGAAACTCACAAATATAATTTCTTCCTAATTTTTATAGTGAAAATCATTCAGATGTTATTTCTAAAAAAAATTTCAAAGCATCTACATTGCAGGCATGTGCTAGCCATTTGGATTGATAGAATAGATCATCTCCACCTTATAAGATTTCGAGCAACAGATTTAAAAAGTAGACATTTAGATATGGAATTAATCTTTTATAAAAACAGACACCCAGGGCCATATGAATATAAAATCTGGGATTGCTCACAACATTTGCAGTACTGTAATAAGAATTCCACGTAAAAAGATGAAATATAATTAAATGGATATTCTGGGCAAAGAGAATAATAATTGCAAATAACACAGTTGTAAAAGTGAGAGAAGTGAATGGTGAATCCTGTGGATAGAAACAGAAAACCACAAGTAGCCATTACTTCCCTTTTATGCTTTCCATGAAAAGCTAATTTTATTGATTCAATTTATCATGCACAGAAAAAATTATGCTATAAAACCAATACTCATGTTCCTCATGTAAATATTATATATTTTTTAATGGTAGCCCTAGGGTTTATCAAGGTGTGCCCTAATACAGGTGCTGGAGCTTGCCCACAAGGCTTTTGATGTATAAAGCCCAGACCTCCTGCCAATTCTCCTTGAACAACAACACCTGGAAATTGACAGCTAAGAGGATGCTGTACAGAAGCTCATCATCTGCCACCTTCATGTGGCCAATGGCCACTGCCAGACACAGCACCTTCTTCATTTGCAATTGGATCGTGGACTTCACTTCATCCACTTTGGCCCCCATGTCCTCATTGTGGGTCAGCATGGAAAGGAACTTGCCAGCCTTATTCAGGCCTGGACCCAAAACTTGTGGGATCTGCTTGATCAGATATTCTGAAGCCAAAAAGGCACCACACTTCTTGGCCAGCTTCTTGACTAATTTTTTATTCCTGTTGAGTTTCTTCAGTGTGTCAGTGTCCATGTGGGGAATATCCACAATCTTGGCCTCATCGCAGTGCTGCTGGTCCCCCAAAACTTGGGGCAGGGAGTGGACTTAAGCCTAATGGTGCCTGAGAAGCATTTGTCCTTCTGAGGGTCATAGTTCTTCAAGCTGATCTGCAGCTCCACCGTCTCCAAAACCTTCTGACACTGGCACTGGTTCCTGATCAGGACTTCCCACACCACCAGGACAGGGTGTCACTTGGAGACTTTGCTGCTCATGATGCCTCATGCTCAATAACCAGATAAAAGAGCAATGCCTCAATAACCAGATAAAAGAGCAATATTATATGATTTAAATTATACCTGTGTTAAACATTTTTTGGTGTTGTTTTGTGTGTGTGTGTGTGTGTGTGTGTGTGTGTGTTGTGCATGTGTTAAACATTTTACCTATGCCCCTAAGATATTAACAATCCCTTTAAGTGGGTATGCTTTTCTCCTCCTTTTAAAGAATGAGACAGATATTCATAGGAAACAAATAATGTATATATGGCCAATATACATTGGAACAGTAATTCAGATCAAAGCTATGCCCCCCAAAGAAGCCACTGTACCAATTACTGGGGGAGGTGAGAAATGTTGCAATATAAGCATATATAAGGAAATCTTAGCATTTCAGAATAGGATGTTATTTCTTTCAAAAAAGTACTTTTTTCACAAGAGTACTAAATAAGCCCATCTAAAATGCCAGCCTTGGTTTATGGGGATTTCTCTCCAAAATAACAAATCTCAGAAAATTAAAAATTCAGAAGACAACTATTCCTTTGGAATTAAATTTAAATCCCTAAACTTAAATGCAGAAAATTACTTTCGCTAAAGAAACTCAGAATCCCAAACTCTTCCACTGGTTATCTCAGATATAACATATAGCTGTATGATAATATCATCTCTCATTGGCAAGAGTCTCTGTCATTTCTGGATTGAGCACTGAGTTATCCACAGCAACTATAACTGCAGCCATAACCATAGAATATGGGATTGACAATTGATTCTCTCACTGATAGATAATACTTAGTCATTTCTGATTTGAGTCACAGTAAGCCTTTGTATTCTTAAACAGAGCTCTTTGGTGTTCACCAGGCCCTACCTCTATCTCTGATAGTAGATCTCCAATGCTAAAGTCCTCAAACTCACATTGCCCTTTTTTGCTCCCTCTATGTAATTGGATGTGTATTGTTATAATTTACAGTCATATAGGATCACATGAGCCTCATGGTACAGTATGCTTATCAATGTGATTAGAAGTTATCACAATATACTGGAATGTCGTCTTTCTTGACTATATTAACAGATTATGAGCATTTTGCTAGCAAAGGGAATACTTTGTTCATTATTGTCTACCAAAGGGCTTATTATAGTGCAGTCATTTACAAAAATATTTGTTAAATTAATCAACAAAAGGATGGAGGTCTCAAAGTCTTTTCCTATCTAAACTATTAATATCTCCTGCCTTGAAATTATCATTGCTCTGCTCTGATATCTTGTTTGAATAATTTTCTAAGACTGGGTTTTCTAGGACGCCGTGTTTTTCAGAACCATGGACAGAAATCGCTATACACCTTCAAGGATAGAAGCACCTCTCAAACTCCTTACTCAACAGACAGAAACTCTCTTTTCTTTTTATGTCTACCACCCAGGATCTCCACTGTGGACACATATACGGCAAAATTCTATCTTTTAATCAGTAAGGTACCAGATGGAACCCTATGATAAGACTCCCATGGGTATCACATTTTTAATGTTTTCTTAACTTGAGATGTTTTCATATAGACAATAGTAAAAAATCAAAATGGTGCTCAACAGTATTATTTACTTAACACATATTAATGGCTTTCTTGACACGGATCCCTTCAGGTCTCAGTAGCAGCTCATATACTCCATCGTTCACTCTACTAAATCCCCATTTGTGCAACCTTGGAAAAATTAGCTAAACTCTCAATGAGTCACTTCCTGACATAAAAATTAAGGAGAATAATAGGAATTTCCTCAGAGGGCATTTGTAAATATTATTTAGACAAGGCTAACAAATATGCCTGGTACCTTCCAGGGCTTAATAAATTAAAACTATTACTATTATCTTAAATAATGTCATTTTTGATTAAA